GAGGTGGTGTCCATTAGTTTACTGGTGTGCTACTGTGGTGCTTTAATGTTGAATAAGATATTGAAGTTATACTCTGTATGAAGGGTAACACTCCAGGAACATAACCTAAAATGGATTTGACTACTTATGAAATCTCCAGCATTTTGTGTTGTTGATGCTGCTTTAGTTTCCAGAGGGAAGACTGAAAGGTTAATTTGATTACAAATACTTCTCTTTCTGTGAAATGACTCACCTCTCTGCTGTTATTATAAGCCCAACAGCTCTGTACTATAAATGACTTGTAGTGAAAATAGAGAATTTTAATAAATCTACATCATCAGGTAGATTTTTTTTTTCTTCTACTCTTGAACGGTGCCACACTACTATCTGCTAAATATGACTGGTGCAAATATAAAATAAGAAAGCAAGACATTAACATGATTAAAAATACTGTAAAGCAATTAGTAGAAACCTTGAAAAGATCACTCAGCTCTTTTAGTATGTAAAAGACAAAGAAATACCGCCACTGATGACCCTGACACATATTCTATCTGCAAATGCAGGCTCATAGTTTCCATGGTAATTTTAATATAATATAATATAATATGCGGGGAAGAAACACTGCCATAGGCTCTTTTGAAGAATACATCAACGTAACAAAATGTTAAAGGTTGATAGATGTTAACCAAAGTTGAAATTATTTCTCTATAAAGAATTACTCTTAGCTTTGCTATAGGGAATAAACAGCAATATGCATTTAAAGTCATTAATTACAATGTACCTATGAGAAGCTGTTTAGGCTGTAGGCAATAAAATATTGACTGAATGTTGAAATGGGTCAATAGAAGGGTCAGTTCTTCATCTACAGTGCTACAAAACTATAAAATATATTGGATGACATACAAAGTGGCACATAACTATGCAAACTATAAAAGTTGATCAGTTTAGCGTTATTTACATTTAAGAGCTACCCTACCGGGATACTTAAAATTGCAAAATTGTAGCTGTTTTTTTTCTATTATCCAAATAATTTATGCAAACATAGTATATAGTATATTTGCAGATGAAAAACTAACGCTCAATGTCATCTCATCACCAGATGTCATCTCAATTTATGCGATGAATAGTCCCTATCTTAGCTGCTCAGCCAATGTTAAGGTAACTTACATGAGCTAACAGGACATTGAGCTTTAATGACTTGATGACGTATCAATGCCCTGTAATAGAGATTCAAACTTTTACTTACAATCTGCTAGCATTAGTTCTTGGTCAGCACTCCACTACTAACGGGCCACCAAGACACACAGAGACTTCTGTGGCAGGTAATAGCTTCTGACCAGTGCTCATATTCAAACTGTTATTTACAGTCTGCTAGTATAGCTGTTGGTGGACTATCTCACTGTCTGACTATCACATTGGGCCAGAAAGTCGTATGTGCCAGAAGCTAAGACCATATGATTTTTGCAAAGACAGGGTCCTTATTTTGCTTGTTTGTTGTTTTTTTTGTTTTGTTTTTTTAAGTAGCAAAATAAAACTGTGTTCCTTGGTAAGTTTCTAAATGCAAATATGATGAAGACAGTATTTTATTATGCAAGAAAGCATGTCTAGCTAAAGGTACAGACAGCAGCTCATGTACTAATATGTTTACTGCATAAGAGCCAACAGCTTCATTCTAGAGCCAATCTAACTGGAGCACTGGTGCTGCCCTACATTTCAGGAGGACAATTGAGTGCAGCAATGTTGCCGAGACAAGACATCTTCAGGAGGTCAAGGGTCGAAATGCATCAAACCTTGTAACAGTAAATTTATGGTTGATTGTGATGCAGACAAAATTCAGAGATACAGAATGTGTACATATCCAAATGTCACTGTAAGGTAATTTAACATGGGCACTGAAAAGGAGATGAAGGCTAAAAGCAACATAAGCCACTGCTATAATAAACACAGATTTCGGACACCTATCAGATCAGAAAATATGCGCACTGTGTGCCTGCCTTTTATTATTTTTAGTTTTGCTGGTGTCTAAAAATTCATTACAAGGCCACAGTTTTGCCATTTTTTTACCTATAAAAAGCAGAAGCTCTTTTGTCTGCCCTATATCTCTGAGGGCACGGATAAGCGTATTATTACTAGAAGAATAAAAGCGAGTTAATGAAAGCTGCAGAAGGGAATGAAGCTTCTTGGACCACCTGTTCAACATTTTCATATTCAGTGAAGAAGAGCTCAGGTTCCCATATGAGCACCTTGCCATCTGTTTCAAAAATATATCTAATTTTGGTATTCAACAACAGTACATGCTTTACTAAGCACAGACACCACAGAGCTTATATTAAGCTAATTGTAATGTCTGCCTTTATGATTTGTGAAATTTCTGTGCAACTGTATTTGATGCCTATTATATTTTCCAATAATTACTGCTAGAAAACTGACTTCAAAGTGAGTGTAGGTGATCGAACACATGCACTTAAGTGACAGGTTTGAAAAACAAAAATCAAGTTTGCCTGTCTTCATTAGAATGAAAAACACACAAGCGTGACTGAAGCACTGATCAATCAATGAGTTGTATCTTTAATCAATTATACCGAGGACCATTAGCGTTATCAGGACATGCAAACACAAGTTTGATGTGGCTGTTAAGGGAGCTCTCAGCAGCTTATCAGAAATAATGCTCAACAAAAGAGTCAGCTAATCAGGAGATAAAGACAAAGAATCACTGTAGACTTAACTCATGCACCAAATGCATACTTAATAAGCAGCAAAAAGCTTGACAAGCATATTTCTTCATTAACAGGTATAGGTTTTAATTTTCCGACATACAAATTTGACTAGTCTTTCCAATATTCCATTGCCAACAGATGCAAACAGCTTTCAAGGTTATATTATTGACTATAGAATGGTGTCACACAAGGTCACTAGTGTTTATTTATGATATACAATATATTCATAGCCTTTACGTGGTCACGTACAACCACAATTTGCAGTGTAAGTAGGTTTCATTAACCTTTTCATTCATCCAATGTTACATCTGTACGAACAACTACATCAACAAATGTAAACCTACATACATCCAGAGTGTCATCGTGGCCATTGGTATTGAAATGTTTGAAGCTTAATTAAGAAAGTCATCACAATCTGAAAGCTGAGGATATTTCAGCCTCTTTGCTCAACATAATGTAACTGCTCTGTGAAGCTTATACCTCACTCCTTGAGCATAGGACTAAGTCACCCCTACAGTGAACTACATTAAAGTATGTTAGAATACAAGACACTCAAATCAGATCTCGCTGAAATTACCTTTAATTGGCAAAATTAACTACATTATAGTTCTTCAGGTGAGCAAAAAGTACAGCGACCCAAACTGTAATGATACAAAGCATAATGCTCTGAGGGGGTGAAGATCAGCTCATTTTCATAACAGCAATCCAGCTGGTTTTTTTTGTTGTGCACAAAATCAAGTTCTTATGGACCACAATGACCTGCTTTATTGGCCACTACACCAAAATCACAGCACATTTCCAGGAAAATGTACCACACTTCCAAGTAATCATAGAGTGGAGCTATGACAATCAATGACTTAAAAGCCTACACTAAATCATCAATCAGTTTCTATGCTGGAGGCAACGTGCAGCGGAACACTGCGATGGAGCTGCAACTACATGTGCTGGTTTTTTAAGGACTCAAGAGCAGAACAAAGTGGGTACTGCTTTTTTTTCCAGTATTTTAAAAACATGACTTTTTTTTCTTATATCCGTGGGTAATCAAATAAATCAAGAATGCATTGCGGGAACATTTACTGTATGTCATCAGGGCAACATCCTGCTCTTTCTGTGATGCAAATGCATTAAATAGACCATGAAATTTACTACTAGAAATTACTATATATTGAAAATTTATATGCATATTTGTAGCCATTAAAATTCCAAATATAATAACTGCAAGAAGAATTTATAGAACATTTATAAGTAAATAGACATATATAATAATGCAAATAAAAGAAATGCATATTGCAAATTCATTCCTAGAATTCAATAAAAGTGTAAATGCAGGCTCTTTAATTTATATCCCTGAACCCTAAAATCCACCAGCAGGTTTGAAAATGCACAAACATTTTTTTTTAACAATAATATCACAGCCAGAAATTGTGAAAACAGAGAACTGCTGGAAAAATAAATAAAATAACCACATCTAGGTTTTACATCATAACATTTCATCAAAATCACTTCATTCTGCATATCTCCATGTCCTCCTTAGGGTTCATTGGGTTAATAATTAGAATTTTAGAAAAACTACATTTCATAAGCTGTACTACAATCTGTACTTGTGGTAAACAAGCACAAAATTTGTGTAGGCCCAATGCACACACATGCATTTTAAATATTTCTGTCTGTTTCTGGCTAATTTCTGTCTAATACCACAAAATGTTTGAGGTGGTTAAGATTATTATAAGCCTCCACATAAAGGCTGTAGAATAAAATCTTTAAATCAGAACAGCAATTTATCAGCTGCTAATGATATTACAAACAATAAAAGAAATTTAGGGACAAAAGAATTAGGTTGTGGCTAAATGTCTGATTACACTGCTGACTGATGCGTTCGACAGTATTTTCTGTAACGCGTGAGCAAGACATGCTGCGGAGTCACAGGAAAATTGCAGATTGTATTGATTTTCTGCATTGTGACATGAAAAACATTAACATCACGGCAATACTGAGAGCAACTATCATAAATGATTTCTCAGCATGAGAGAGGTGATGAGAAAACAATTCTGTAGTTACTTGACAGTTACAGTTTGAGAGATCATGCATAAGAGATGGCTCCGAAAAATGCAGCAGTAACTTTGGAAGTTAAATATACAAAAAATTCATTAATCAATTGTCTACAAGGAAACAATCAGAAAAATCGAAAAATATTAAAGAGAATGATATTAGATGGAAACTACAGAAATGTTCATGGAGACCCCTCTGCTCTGTGAATGTATTATAGTGTTGTGAAAAGGAGAAAAAATTAGGTCAAGTACTCACCCAAATGTTGACACTAGGTGATGATGGGGACTACAGGATCAGACGCCTGAAAAGAAGCACAATATACATGTCATAAATAAAATTTAAAAATTAGCTTTCACAAACAGACAATACTTTTGAGAACAATGAATATGGACCAATTAAATGAAAATGTCCAATGCTTGGGTTGGAGCAGCTGTTTGAATGCATCCTCAGCGTCTCTGATTCAATTGTTTACTTTAAGAAAGTTAGCATTAAAGTGCAGCTCTAACTCCTCAAGTGAAACACTAACTTTTGACTGCAGGGGATAAATTCAAAAATGATAATTGTGACTGAAATTTCTATTTCTGGTGTTGTGAATGTCCTACATTCTGTTTAGATGCAGGTAAGGGTGGGGGTGGAATGATTTTTGTCTCCAGGGCCCAAAGATGTGTATTTCTCTTGCTGAGGAATGCTTTTGTTCTGATAAATTGACAGTGTCAGTTTCCCACATTGCCACAGTGTGGCTTATACTATAGGGAGCAGCAGTGGGAACACACATGCTACATACGATTGGCGTCAGTCAATGTGACAGTTCTTGTTTTTTCTTTTCTTTTAAGAGGGGGGGCCTATTTTTTCTAAATCTGAACTTCCAAGTCGAGGAAGCAGGAAGGAATAGGAATTAATACACCTACACTCCCCTTCTCCCTTTAGAATGGCAAAAATCTCTTTGTACTCACATCATAATTACTGGTGGGCGCCAGTTTGGGATTGTTATCCATGCCTCCTTTCTTTCTTTTTTTTTTCTTTTTTTGCAAGTATAGCACAATATTTTGAGAACATACAACTGACAACTAGGTCTTTTCTCAACTTCACTTCAGTTTCTTTACACTGTCTTAATGTCTAGTATTGCTTGAAGTGGCGTTCCTTGTTCTAGCATATGCTCCATATTTTCAGATGCGCCGTCTTCTTCAAGCACAGCGAGTAGCCGGACGTGGAGGGAAAGTAACCAGCAGCCGGAGTGCTGAGGGCACGTTCCTCCGGGAAAATGATGTTGATGAAGACGTTCTATTTTTCTGCCTTTTCACACAGCTTGAAACTTTGATTCTATTCGAAATCCAGTCTCAATTACTGAGTGATTTTTATGTGTTTACCTCAAAAACTGCCTTACTTTCCACTTTTAATTAGCAGTTCTACTGTTGAGTACTGAACACCACCGCATACTTTCTGTTGCCACAGAAACAAAAGGATTTTCTTTATTACTGTCAGTTAAATGTGCAAATTTGTCCACTTTTTAGTTAGTGAGACTAAGTGAAACTTTACAATACAGAAAAACCTGACAAAGTGCAAATACTTTATTAAATAATTTTTGTGTATAATAATTTTGAACGGCCAGTTCAAACATTCCAGCTAAAACAGTGGCCGATTAGTCATAATAGGCCTGGTACAAACGATTATCGATTAATCTGTCAGTTACCTCTCGATGAAATGAGTCATCATTTTGGCTGTAAAATGTCAGAAAATGGTGAAAAATTCTGATCAGTGTTTACCACAGTCCAAGGTGACATCTTCAAACATCATTTTTTGTCCATAACCCAAAGATTTTCAGTTTACAGTCAATGAAAAGTAGAGATTCTGTATATAACTTAGCTGTTGACTTCATGTTTAATTAATCAATTGCAGTTCTAACATAACATCGAATTTAAAACCAAATTCTGGCTGATTTTAGTGTCTGGAAACTTGGAAAATCCAATTTTACTCACTGTACACCTGTGACGTGGAATAACACGCAGACAACCTAAAGCTTGACTTGCTATTGTCATATTAAGGTTTCTAAAGGTTTTATTTTGCATTGAGCTTTTCTTGTATAATTTATTTTTAAATTTCAAATTCTTTAATTATTCATAATTTTTTTATCTTTTTAATAATTTTGCCTTTTAAATTTTTTGGGGCAATCCACTTTTCATACATTAAAAAGACAGTAGCCAATATGTAAATACAGGTGGTAATCAAAAGAGTGATGTCAAAATCTGTACAAAAAAAAGGGAAAAAAAGTATTTTTCTTCAGTATCTCAATCAAATTGAATTTATTCACACAACATTTATTTATATTTATATTTACTTTATATTCATTTATATCAGATTGCCCAAAGTGCTGTGCATTGTAGAGGACTGGCAACAACAAAAATAGGTACAGGAAAGCACATTTTAAACAGGATAAAAATCAATATTTAAAACAAAACATGTATATAAAACATTGCAACGCAAAACAGGCTGACAACTTGTACTATAAAACTAAAATACATATAAAATATTAAGACCACTAAGAGCAGCAGTCTTGCCATTCAATAGAGGAGGAATATTTGATTCGAAGACGAAGGCTATTCCAAAGCTTTGGAGCTGAAAAGTACGATCTCCTTCCTGTTACCCACCAACCTCGATTGTGAAACAGTTAAAAGCAACTGTGCTGAGAATTTAAGAGACTTGAAGGTGGAGAAGGAGCAGAGAACTTCTGAAATGTTCCCAAGGTTCCAACTATGCATGTGTCTGATGTACGCATAAAAGAACCTTTAAATGACTGAACAGTTTTGCAAATAGTTCTAGTTTATCTGCTGAAGTACAAATACATCTGCCAGTTAGTCTTCTGCCATCATGCCAAAACAAATGAAGTCAATGGAATTTTATCTGATGTTGAAAAAGTTGAAAATAAATGTTAACAAAAACCACCTATTTTCTACTGAAGGTGCAAAACTGTTAAAACTGTCCACTCTCCTCCTACACCACTATCAGCTTTCTCCCGTAGGTATCACCATTGAGTCCAGCCAAACCTGTTGTTTACATATGAACCATAACTATTTTTCTATCGGCTCGTGCAAAGTTGACAGAAAAAGTAACAGCTAGCTGGGGACCTTATTAAGTGTTTAGGAAATATGCCTCAATTCCTGTTTGCTTGTCTTGCCATCACCTGAAGTTGCTGCTCTGTGGTTTGGATACTGTATTCAGCCCTTTATTTACCCAGGGAAGATTTAGTGAGTGCTAATATTATGTTCAGTAACTCCATGCCTCACACACACAGTCACACATACTCACTTCTGGAGCCTTTTCTAACCCAAACAGCCTTTTATTGCCACATCCAGATTTTCTGAAAATCAGTTACCAAAATAAACAATATGGTACAACAAATATCTGACTAATTGCTGTTATTGTTTTTCCTGAGAAGTGGAAGAAACTTGTGCACTAAAATGTGATTGATCTTACAGTCTCTGAGTTACAGATCCAAACAAAAAAACAAAGGAGGTTCAGTGCTTCCTGTGCTGAGGCATCTGGGGAAGTATCCAGCTGAGAAAGAGATGTGATCTGGCCAGAAATCATGAAACACATGGTTCAGATCTGCTCACAGGTTTCTGTATGGCTCTCAGTTGCCAACTGTAGCCAACCCGGTGAATTTAAAGCAATGTAATGGTGCCAATATACTAGTACTGGCTCCATACCTGTAAGGCAGCAGTAGGCAAACAGCAGCTGAGCCAAACCAGAGCCTGCTGCAAAAACTATTTCACTTTCAAAGTTGTCATGAAGCTTTTGCATGACATTACTTCAATCTACTGTGATAATGTACATAAAAGCCTTGTGTACTGTAAATGCTAATACTGAAGTGACGCTTGAATATGGCTGTAACTGACAGTTATTTTCATTAATGATTCTTTTTTTTTGTAAGTTTTTTTTTTTTGGCCTTTGTGCCTTTATTCCATAGTGCAGTGCGAGAGAGACAGGAAAGTGGGGTAGAAGAATGGGGGGAGGACGTGTAGGAAAGGGCCATGAGCGGGATTCTAACTCATGACCTCCACATTGGGACTGTAGCCCTGCACATGGGACGCCAGCTCAACCAGGTGAAGAAGAAGGTTACTGTTTATTCTGTGGGGATAACTTATCAATGGCATCTCTATTGTATTGCATATGATTGTACTTTTTTTACTAAATGACAGCCAGTATGAGCCACTTTAAGAAAAAATCTGTCTTCAGACACAGACCTGAAAAACATCAGAAATCAATTCTATTCTTACATGATTTAAAAGAACTAAACAAAGTAAATAAACAAACACTGCAATTTCTCCATATGTTTGATAATGAATAGTAGAATTGGCCGATATCTGAACATTTTCCAACCAACTATCATCAGTCCAACAAACGGCAATAGCTAACCAATCAGAATCCATCTGGAGTTCACGAATGGTTAATATAATGAACAGCTTGGCATAAATTTGTCCAAATGTGAGGAGTACAAGCTAACACTGATAAATGATATGTTCCTACCACATAGCAGTCAACCTGGGAGACCAAACTCTTCCAATTAGGTTATTATAAGCATGTAAGGTGCTATGTTACCTTTCTATATCTACAGCTCCAAATCATGGCAGGCAGAGCTCTGGTTTTAGGCTGAGTGTCTTTACTGCAACCTGAACGTAGCTGCTAACCAGCCTTTACTTTCCGGACCATTGATGCAGTCGTGAACCTGGCCTTTATTTACTTTTCTGGGGCAATGAACACAGTACACAGCATTTGGATAAATGCTCGAAATAAATTCATGCCTACAGCAACTTGAACTGCCAGTTCCTGCTAGCGCTTGCTTTTAATTTCGCTTTACAGGTTAATTACACATAGAGTTTCTCAAGGCTAAATAAAATGACAAAAACTGCACTAAAAGAAATATTATTGGACAAAACCAAGTGCCAGTCGCCAACTGGAGTAGACATTTTGTTTGGTCTCTATACATACAAAACTTTGACTGTGGCAAGCTAATGATATTCATAATGTATTAAAGCACAAAGCCTGAGCGAGTACAAACGATGATGCATCCAGCCATCACACGCAGCTCTATCTATTGAACTTACAGTTTGGGAGATTAAATTTTACAGAATTATTTTCTGGGCTGTACCCACGGCTTTTTTTTTTTAGCTTATATTTGTTGATATTTTGTGAACTGGCACTATTACTGTAAACCAAAATAGCGAGCAGTAGTTCTTGTTTACATGGTACAGTGGATGTACAGACAGTAATCATTTAATTACTTACTTTAACTAAAAAACCTGA